TTGCCTCAAAAGCGGACACATGTGGCGCGACTGCTACAAAATCCCTGATGGTTGGACCCCTGCTCAAGGTCAGGAGGGTAGAGGAGCAGGAGGAGGGAGAGGAAGAGGCCGTGGAGGCTTTGGCGGTCGTGGAAGTGGAGCTGCAAACATGCGGAGTGGAGATAACGAGATGGACCCGAGCGGCGATCGGTACCCGGGTCAATTCCTTTTTATGTCACCTTAAGCACCGGCTGGACCAGGGAAGGATGAAGGCTTTGAGGAGCCAGAAGCTGTGGGAAAGGTGACCCTACACCCCCCTGGACTATTGGGTGATCGATAGCGGCGCTACCTACACCATGACACCTCGCGCGGACTTGCTCACCGAACTTGAACCGTCACCGGTGAAGCAGATTGGGGAGCAGCAGACAGGGGAGCAGTAGATTGGGGAGCAACAGATAGGGGAGCAGCAGATTGGGGAGCAGCAGATAGTGGACCAGCAGCCAGGGGAGCAGCAGACAGGGGAGCCGTAGACAGGGGAGCAGGAGATGTGCGGAATTAGAGATGGTGGTCGTGTGCTGGTTTCTGGGACGATCACTGCACCGCTGTGTTGCTCCACTCGCATCACTCGTGGTGTCCCGCTGGTTAAATATGTTTGGGCAGTAGTGATTGAGCCGACGGTTTTGGATGACGAGGAGGAGGATGAGGAGTGGACAGACCTGGACCCAGATGTGGTGGCCGACCTCGAGAGGCAATGGGATATAGCGAAGATTATAGTGAAGGAGGCCTTGGGCTGCTGGAAGGGCGACAAGATGAAGGGGGCGATGGATGAGGAGATGCTGAGCTTGATTGAGCAAGGGACATGGGAGTTCTTTCGCGTCTGCCAGAGGTGAATGTGATGAAGAACCGCTGGATTTTGAACACCAAGTTTCGACAGAATGGGATAGTGGAGTGTGAGAAGGCGAGGCTGGTGGTGAAGGGGTTCACACAAGTGGCCGGGGTGGACTATGAGGAGACTTACGCCCCTGTGGGAAGCTATATGACGGCACGTGTGCTTCTGACGATCGTGGCTGCACTTGATTTAGACCTAATGCCTCCATGGTGTGCTGGACCAAGACCTTTACATGGAGCGGCTGAGCTACTACGAGGATGGGACTCCTAGTTTCTGTAAGTTGGTAAAGAGTGTGTATGGGCTCAAGCAGAGCCTGATGCTATGGTATGAGGCCTTGGATGGGGTTCTACTTGGGGATGGATGGAAGAAGAGCCAGGTGGATGAGGCTCTGTAGTTCAAGAGTGATGCTGACGGAGAGATGTGCTGGTTGCTAGTGTATGTGGATGACTTGCTGCTAGCCGCAGTCAGAGCATGCTGGGGGAGCTGGTGACCTACTGCAGAATGCGTTCCAACTGCGGGAGATTAGTCCTGTGGAGAAGTATCTAGGCTTGCAGCTGGTTCAGGACAGGCCTACGAGGAGGCTGTGGCTGCACTAGGGGGCCTATGTGGACAAGGTCCATAGGCGCTTCTTTGACGGGGAGCAGCTGCTGTGAGTGCCTCGCACCCCTTTTCCCTCTGACCTTTTTAGTGTGCTGACTTTCGAGGATGTGGGATGGTAGTCTCGCCAGGAGGAAGAGTACAGGCAGAAGGTGGGATCCTTGTAGTTCGTGGCCTATACCACCCGTCTTGACATCTCCTTCGCCTGCAGCAAGCTGGGGTCGGGCCAAAGTGTGCAGAGTGATCAGCACTGGAAGGACTTGGACAGGTGCTTGGCGTACTTGGGAGCAGGGATGTGGTGCTGAGTTTGGTGGTGGGCTGGATTCCTTGGAGTTGGTGGGCTATGCCGATGCTGATGATGCAGGGGACAAGCAGAACAGGACCAGCACTGGTGGCTATGTCTTCGTGCTCGGGGGTGCTGTTGTCTCTTGGGCGAGTCGGAGGATTCATTGCGCCACCCTCTCTTCCACTGATTCTGAGTAGTTTGCTGCTGTAGAGGCTGGGAAGGAGACGCGCAGGCTGTGCTTCCTGCAGGCAGATTTTCAGTTGCTGAGGAGTGAGGAGCCTACTTCTCTCTTTGTGGATATCTCCTCCGCCATTTCAGTGTGGCATGGAGCTCAAGGGGATTCTCAAGCACATGGAGCGTCGCCACATGCGGCTGCAGCACATGGTCAAGCGTAGGAAGCTGCACCTGCAGTACATTCCTACGAGCAAGCAGCCGGCTGACTACCCGACAAAGGCGTTGCATTTCCCCGCCTTCAGGTGAGGCGTTGCTTTGAGGCTGTGGGGCAGGTGAGGCTCTCGAGTGAGGGGAGTGAGACTAGACTCTCCATGATGGGGATGGTGCCATGGCCTATCCACGGCTGGTGCGGTGCGCATTTGCACTTTGAGAGTGCTTCGTTTGTGTGTGTCCCTTTTATTTTGGTGTGTATTTGTGTATGCATGCCATGTGATTATTAAAGGCCTTGCTGTAGTATGGCAGGGGAGTGTTAGAGGGCCCTACAACAGCAAGGGCCCTCAATGACCTGGCAAGACAACTACGCTAAGACGGACATTGAAGACAGCAATGCAGGAAATGCGCTGAGGTCGCGCGACTACTACAGCGCCAACAAAATCAGTTCTCAGATGTTACTGGTCTGGGGAAGTCGTGAGCATGATTCTTGGGAAGCATGCCACTTCCTAGCAAGTCTGTGTTGTCATGTGTGGTGTAGCCGAGTTGGAGTTGGTGTTGGCTGGGGTGGCGTACGAGAAGGGCCGTTCCGCTGCTGAGTTGGGTTGAGATTGTACGAGGCGCGTTCACCCATCTGCATGACACTTTCGTGGGGTTGGGTTACTGCGCAACGCCACGCCATGTTTGTGAAACTCTCCCATAGCCTATATCTAGTTGTGTGTTTTCTGTTGTGTGGATGGATAACATATTTCTACCTTTGCAAAGTGCTACTTCGATTCCCATTTCAACGCTAGAGGCAAACGCTACCAGAACTCTACCGAGTAGCTGGCGCAGCACCATTCACATAGAAGAAACTCTCTCTCGCTAACGCTACGCTCTTCATATTTTTCCTTCAGGGGGAAACTTCCGCCACATGGCACATGAAAGCAGTAGGGGCTTCAGAGACTAGTGGATGGCAGAAAAGATGCTGCGCACTCTCACTTCCATCGCCTCCCTCGTCCTCGTGCACTCGTGCACCCTGTCTCAAATCCCCTTTCCCCCTCTAAATCTTGTTACAAAATTGTTAGAATGTTAACTTATGCTCTAGCCTGTAGTGGGGTGCTCTATAGCGAGTACAACCCTTCTAGGGTTTGCTATTTGTATCCTCATTCTTGCTAGTGCAATCCTCTTCTCTCTTTTAACTTTCTCATGCTATCAGAGCAGGTCGATCCCCTTGGATCGATCCTGTGGGTGGGCTTACCACCTCCTAGCTTCCGCTGCAACGTCTACCACTACTCTCTGAGCCGCACGCCCCGTGGCGTGCGGCACTTTTTCATCCCGCCGTGCGCCCCGAGGCGCGCGGCGGTTTTCGGCCCGCCGTGCGCCCCGAGGCGCGCGGCGGATCTCTGCCTGCTGTGCGCCCCGAGGCGCGCGGTGGGCTTCTGCCCCGTCGTTCGCCGCGTCGCCCTCTAGAGGCGCCGCGACGGGCGACGGGGACCCGCGCGTCGCCCCCTGTCGCCCGTCGTGGCCTGCGCGCGGCCCGTTCAGGCAGCGACGGGCTACGCCAGGCCCGCGCGCCACCCGTACGGGCTGCGCCAGGCCCGCGCGCGGCCCGTACGGGCTGCGCCAGACCCGCGCGCGACCCGTACGGGCGGCGCCAGGCCCGCGCGCGGCCCGTATGGACGGCGCCAGGCCCGCGCGCGGCTCGGGCCGCCTGCGCGCGGCTCAGGCGTCTGCACCAGGCCCGTGGTGGGCCCCTTTCTTGATACCCCTGCACTCCCCGCTGTCCCCCCGTGCTTCTACTGGCGCCCCACTCCTCCTACTCCCCATTCTCCTGAATTAGGGTTTGGGGGTGAGGGGTATGGGGGTGCCCTCACTGTGTGCCGTTCCCTGCTCCTCCTCCTCCTCCGTCTCCCTGAGTTGCAGCTGCCGCTGAGGGGGGGGTGGACGTGTTGGAGCCGGTGGAGTGGTACTAAGGGGGGGTGAAGGGGGAGTGGAGCTAGCGGTGTAGCAGCGGGTGTGTGCCAGGGGGAGTGGGATAGTTTGGGGAAGCTGCATGGAGGTTGCTGTCGTGTCGCCAGCAGCACCTGTAGTCCGGGGAGTTGCTCCGGTAGCCCAGTCGTAGCCAGCTGTGCCAGCCGCCCGTAGGTCCGTTGCTCGTCTGCCGCTGCTTTAGCTGCGGGGCCAGTTACTCCAGTATTCCGGAGCGTTGTTCCGGTAGCCGCTGTGCCAGTGTGCCTCCTGTTGCCCGTGTGTCTGCAGCTTCAGCCGTCGCCTCCTATCTCCTCTCCTCTCACTCTCTCTCCTCCTCCTCACTTGCTCGTTGTGACTACCACTAGCTTTGCTCATAATTGTGAACCTTAAACTATTGCTTCTTGAACTTGTGCTCAGAATGTGTGGTGACATTGTGATCCACCCTGAGCTTGTACTGCTTTGCTTGCTCTGCTGATTACACCCCACTTTGGCTATGGGGGTGTGTCAGAATGTTATCTTATGCTCTAGCCTGTAGTGGGGTGCTCTATAGCGAGTACAACCCTTCTAGGGTTTGCTATTTGTATCCTCATTCTTGCTAGTGCAATCCTCTTCTCTCTTTTAACTTTCACAAAAATCTCCCCTTCTCCACCCGTGCTCTCAAAACCCTCCTCCCCTCCTCCCCTCCCCCTCTTCCCTCCCCCCCTTCACTCTTCGCCTTACCCACGTATGGAGGTCATTCAAGGGCTCAAGCGCCTGGGGCGGGGGACGAAGGACGCAAGGCAGGGGGGAGCAGGGGGGGTGAAGGAAGGGAATGAGGGGAAGAAGAGAGGTCGTCCGAGGGGTGCCGGGGACGGAGAGGATGGCGGGGAGGGGAGGGGGAAAGGGGGGAGATAGCAGAATAGACCACGGTTGATGGAGGAGGTGGGAGAGGGGGAGGGGGAGGAGGGGGGCATGGATAAGGAGGAAAGGCAGCAGTTGTTTGAGCAGTTGACTGAAGATGTGATGGTGCTCATGGATGCTGGCAAGACAGGTACGGTGAGACAGGTACGGTGAGAGAGGTACAGTGAGACAGGTACGGTGAGTCTGGTACGGTGAGAGTGGTACGGCGGGACAGGTTTGGTGAGAGAATTACGGTGAGAGAAGAACGGTGAGTGAAGCATAGGGAGACAGGTACAGTGAGGATGGTAGGGTGAGACAGGTATAGTGGATGGGTAACTGCTTATGTAGAGCATAGGCATTGGGAGCATCATCCTGTGAAGGAGCTGGGTCGATCAGAGGATGATTGTTGTTCAAAGTCTAGAGCATGACACATGCTGCTGCATGCCTCTGCTCCTGCCTCGCATGGCACACACGCCATGCCATACTTAAGTCAAAATTGGCGCATGACAAGAGAAGTGCTGCATGCTCCACGGCACGCATCCAATGCCATGGCACGCATCCAGTGCCATGGCACGCATCCAATGCCATGGCACGCACACGAGGGCAGTGAGAGAGCATGCCATTCATTCTCCTTCACCCCCTTTACCCGCCCCATGCGGCACGATGCTTGTTTTTGGAGTAGGCTAGAGCTCGCTCTGGCATTTATCATGGTTTTCTTTTGTTATTTCGCCATGTTTAGAGGGCGTTACACTTTCGGTTCAGTTTATGCTCATTTCTTAGTTTCTAGCAAAAGCTAAACACAAGGGTGTGTTTAGCTTGTGCTAATAAGACTCCTCTTATTTCTCCCCTCGCCAGCTCAGCAGCTGACTACCTTGTCCCTATTTCTCCTCCTCTTATTTCTCCCCTCAACGGCTCAGTAGGTGACTACCTCCCCCCTATTCCTCCTCTTTTATCTCCCCTAGGTGGTGCCTCTTCTCGCTCTTACCTCTCTTCCTCTGCGCTTCCGCCCTCACCCTTCTCCTACCGTACCTCCTCTCCTACCCTTGCCTTCCCTACTCTCCACTCCCTTCGCTGCCCCTTCCTCCACTTGCACCTCTCCTACTAGCCGCTGGACATCCCCTCTTCTCCACCCGTCTGCTTGGACTCCGCTGTCCCATCACCGTCGCCGCTCATCTGCCGCTGTAACTACTGGTATGGGTTCTCTGGCCTCTGTCTTCAATGTGACCATGCCATCGCATGATAGCATCCTTGGTGCTTCTCCTCTTATGGATCCTTGCTTTGTCGTTCCACTTTCTCCACCCCTTCAAAGAACTACCCCTCACTCTCCTAGCCCTACAGCTGCCATTCTCTCACTTCCTCGCACCTTGAATTTTGTCCTTGACAGTGATGGTACTGACTCTCTCTTTTGTGATGCCAGTGTCCTTCTCAAATTTCCTCGTCCCCTCTCTATTGATGGGGCTGGGGAGACCATGACCATGATCTGCACTGGCACTTCCTCTCTTCCTTGTCCTGCCTCTCCCTCTGGCGCTGTTACTGGCCTTTATGTTTCCTCTTGCCATCATAACCTCTTATCTCTCCCCGCCTTCCAACGCCTGTGTGTGCGAGCACTCTTCCCCGCAGGTGCACTCTATTGTGATCTTCATTACCACGACCGACACCTCGCTCGTTTCGCCCTTCTCCTACTACTCGCCTCTACACCCTTCGTGTTCCCCTCCCCTCATCTGTCCATCAAAGTTCCTCTTTTACCCCTCCCGCCTCCTCTTGTGACTGTCGATCTCTCACCCAACCTACTCTTCTTCTCCATCATCGCCTTGGCCACCCCAAATTCCCTCCTCTTCGCAGCATGATCAATTCGAAACTTCTTCATGGTCTCCCTTCCTCTCTCCCGCCCCTTCCCCCCTCTCCCGCTCTTCCATGCACCCCTTGTGATCAAGCCAAGCTCTCCCAATCTTCTCATCCTTCTTCCCCTTTTGCCTCCCCTAAACCCCTTGATCTTGTGCATATGGACCTCGGAGGTCCCTCTCCCATTGCCTTCCGTCAGTATCATTGTTACCTTGTCCTTCTTGTCAATGAGCACTCTTGCTTTGCCACTGTCTATCCCCTGTGTTCTAAATCTAACGCCCCCTCCCTCATCATTCGCTAGGCTGAGCAGGCACGCCTTTGCTTTGGCCGTCCTGTCGCACGCCTCCACTCTGATGGTGGTGGCGAGTTCTTTAACCACTTTCTCTCTCTTCTTACTGCTCTTCTCATGGCATTCGCCAAACCTCCACCCTTCCGCATTCTCCCGAGAAGAATGGTGTTGTCGAGCGTCGCATTCGCACTCTCATGGTGTTCTCGTGCCTCTACTCCACACTCTCTTTGGAGCTACGCTCTTGTTCATGCCACTCTTTTTTACAACCTTCGCCCTCATCCCCTTTGCCCTTCCACTACACCCTTCCAGCTCTAGACTGGCCGCTAGCCATCCGCCCGCCCTCTTCGGGTGTGGGGCTGTGTCGCTCATGTCCTCATTAATCCCACAGATTGAGCAGGTCAAGGTGGGAAGCTCGCTCCCAAGACGCAGCTCTGTGCGTTTATTGGCATGAACACTTACTGTCCTAGCTATCTTTTCTATGCTCCCTCCTCTCAACAGCTCATTCGCAGCTAGGATGTTATATTTGATGAGACTCGTTCTCCATTCCTCACCCCCCCCCCCCCCTCCCTCCCCTCCTCCTCCCTCTCTCCATTGATCTGATTATGATCAGCTACCCTCTGCTGCTCCCTCTCCTTCTCCCCTTCCTCCTGCCCCTGCTCTGCCTCCCCTCCCTGCCCCCTCCACCCCCCCCTCTACTGTCATCTCCGGCATCTCTCCTCCTGCCTCTTCCTCTTCAGCTCCCATGCCCTCTCCTTCACAACATCCTTCTCCTCTCCCTCGTTCTGCTCCTACTCCCCCACCCTCTTTTCACCACCTCCTGCTACCCCTCTTTCTGCTCTTGTTCCTCCACCTTCTCCTAGCTCGCCTCCACTCTTCACTCTCTTGGCTTCTCCACCTCCTCTTCCGACCCCAGTCTCTTCATTCGCACTTCCCCCCATAGTCTTTACATTCTTGCCTACGTCAATGACTTGGTGCTCCTCGCTGAAGATTCTGCCGACCTTGCTGTTGTCAAGCAGGCCCTCTGGACACATCTCCTGTGCAAGGATCTTGGCAAACTTCGTCATTGCCTTGGCATGGAGATCCGTCATGATTGTGCTGCATGCACCATCTCCCTCTCTCAATCTTTCTACATCCACTCCATTCTTGAGCGCTTTGAAATGTCGCAGGCCAAGCCAGTTTTCACTCGTCTTCCCGCTAACCATCAGCTTACTTCCCCTGCTGTTCCCGCTCCCTCCTCAGAACTGCGACCCTAATCTGAGTTCGTTGGGTCACTCATGTATGCTATGATGTGCACTAGCCCCGATCTTGCTTACCCCCTCAATTTCGTCTCTTGTTTTGTTGGCCTTGGTCGCCACACTAACATGCACTGGGTGGCTGCGAAGCGTGTTCTCCACTTTCTTCGGGCTACCTTTGATCTTGCACTCACTCTTGGTGGCTCTTCTCCCTCCGTTCTTTCCGGTTATAGGGATTTCTCCTATGCTGATTCTCGCCCTGGTAGTCGCTCCTCTCAGGGTTATAGTTTTACACTTAGCAGTGGCCTCATCAGCTAGTGCTCCACTCGTTCATCCTCCGTCTACCTTTCCACCTGCGAGGCTGAGTTGTACGCAGGCACATTAGCGGCTCAGGAGGCTCGTTGGCTCTCGTTTCTCCTTGCTGAGCTCTCAGCCCTCTATGATGCTCTCCTGTGACAGTGCGAGCATGATTGACCTCACTGAAAATGCTGACGATCATGCTCGCAACAAACATATCGAGGTACGCTACTTCTTTGTGCGCGAGTTGGTGCAGTCTTGCCTCCTTTGCCTTCGCAAGTTGGCGCCTACTGCCAACCTTGCTGACATTTTCACCAAGGCTCTCCTTCGTGCGCCACACCGTTTCTACGTGCGCGCGCTTGGGCTCACTCGTCTCGCCACTTCTAGAGGTATTCTGGTTCGCTAGGTATTTTGTTCAAGAGCTTCACCTAGCCTGTTGGTGTGTTGGAGTAGGCTAGAGTTGGCTCTGGCATTTATCATGGTGTTCTTTTGTTATTTCGCCATGTTTAGAGCGCGTTACACTTTCAGTTCAGTTTAGGTTCATTTCTTAGTTTCTAGCACAAACTGAACACACCCTAAGTTCAATTAGGGTTTCCTACATTTGAATCACGCTATCTTCTCTCTAGGCAACCATGGCTTCCTCAAGCTTGATCTTAACACTTGTATGCGTGCAGAGGTGTACTTGGACAAGAAGGAAACGTTTGAGCGCGAGGCAGCATTGTACCTTGAACGGCTGTGAGCATGGTCCGGGTGTGTTGTTTGCCCCCCCCTTTCTTTCCTCAACCCCATGCGGCACAGTGCGTGCATGAGTGCAGAGGTGTACTCGGACACGAAAAAGAAACGTTTGAGTGCAAGGCCGCGAGGTTCGAGGCCATCCTCAGGGCGCGCCAGGGGCTGCTGGGTGGCGACGGGGGAGAGGAGACCAAGGGGGATGGGGGCAAAGGGGGGAGGAGAGAAGGAGTGGGGAGAAGGGAGGTGCGGGGATGGACATGTTTGGTGATGAGGATGATGAGGGCAGGGGTGATGCAGGGGCCGATGGTAAAAGGGGCGATGGTAAAGGGGAAGGGGGGGAGAAGGAAGGTGAGAGGAACGAGGCCAAGGGAGGGGCAAAAGGGAAAGAAGGGGAGATGGGTGGAGGGGAGGGGAAGGAGGGAGGGGAGGAGAGGGCAGGGGGTGGGGGGAGTGGAGTGTTGCGCAACAGCGGCTATGAGTTTGACCACGCCAGTGGTTGAGTGCATGGCTGCTCTGGGTAACCGAACCTTTCCGTCCATTGGTTGAGAGCAGAGTGTGAGAGCAAAGGGTGCTTCTCTTCTTGTGTCTCTATCAGCTCAACCCGCCCACCCCCCTCCTTTCCCACCACCACACTCGTTCCTTCGCGACCCCCCCTCCCCCCTCTTCCCTCCCCATGTCCCTCGCTTCTACTGTTTGCAACTGCGATAGAACTTTCTTCAGGCCACCGCACTTGGCATGTCAATGCCAGCAATGTCCCTCCGCTCCCCTCTTCCCCCTCTCAACTGGACTTCCCCCTTCCACTTCCCAGCTACCATTGTAACAAGGTGTAGGGGTATTACTAGGACTTCTCTTCTAAAGAAATCTCTCGCACTCGTCCCACAACTCCCCCCCCCCCCCCCCCCCCCCCCCAAGCTACTACTTCAACAAGCAGCAGGGACATTACTACGACTACTCCTCTGGCCTTTTTTGCAGTGCTGCCAATGGCATATGGTAGGGTAGAGTGCGGTATAGTGAAGTGACAGATGCTGGCACACAGTAGGGTAGGATGCAAGCAGCTCGATGTGGTGACAACCTGCTGCTCGCATGCTGATTTGGTTCTCAGAAAGGCAACAGCACAGAGTCTCATTTGCATGCCAAGATCCTTGTGTGAGCCCAAGCAACCTGTGTGAGTCCAAGCCGCCAGTGTGAGCCCAAGCCACCTCTGTGAGTCCAAGCCGCCTGTGTGAGCCCAAGCCGCCTGTGTGAGCCCAAGCCGCCTGTGTGAGCCCAAGCCACCTGTGTGAGCTCAAGCCATCTGTGTGAGCCCAAGCTGCCTGTGCGAGCCCAAGCCGCCTGTGGGAGCCCAAGTCGCCTGTGGGAGGCCAAGCCGCCTGTGTGAACCCAAGCCGCGTGTGTGAGCCCAAGCCGCCTATGTGAGCCCAAGCCGCCTGTGTGAGACCAGTCAACGGGAGTTGTTGTTGGCCCCGTCCTCGCTTGGGCGGAGCCGACTTCGTGGTTGGGTGTACGGGAGGTTTAGCCGACTTGCAGCAGTAGGCGACGCCGAATTGGGCGAGCTGGTCGAGCCACTGCAATGCCACCGACTTGGGAAGCCAGAAACCGACTTCAACCGGTGGTCGGCGATGTGGCACGTCGACCTGGAAGTCGGCGCCGACTTGCAAGGTCACTGACTTGCAAGGTCACCAACTTGCAAGGTCGCCGACTTGCAAGGTCGCCGACTTGCAAGGTCGCCGACTTGCAAGGTCACCGACTTGCAAGGTCGCCGACTTGGGAGGTCGCCAACTTCAAGAGGTCGCCCCGGAAGTCGGCGCCAACGTAGAAGGGGCGTCGACTTGGTGACGCCGACTTCGGGTAGTCGACTTGGGTGGTCGGCTAACGACTGTGCTGGTTGACGTGGAGCTGGTCGACCAGGAGTGACATCAACCTGGAGCTGGTCGACCAGGGGTGTGGTCGACCTGGTGAGGTCGGCTGGAGGTGAGCGTCGACTTGGGAGGTCGACGGGCACATACTGGAGCACCTGGTCGACGTGGTTGCCTGGTCGACCAGGTTACCTGGGTGACGAGGTTCTGTGGAGGAGTGCGACGGTCGCCCAGGCGAATTTGGCGAGTCCAACCTTGGTGGTGGTATCCCGAGGTCGACGTGGCTGATCAGATGCAGTTGTCAGCGCCTGGTTGACTTGGTGTATACGCTGTGCAGATCACAAGGCTCTGCACGCCAATCGTCTGCGAGCACCTGCCAAGCTGGTGAGATGCTGTTCTGCGGGAGCAACGCTGGCACGCCGTCAACCTGCAACGTTGGCACGCCGTCGACATTGCACTGCTGGAGCGCAATAGATCAAGTCGTGCTGGAACGCGGTCGACCATGCTGTGCTGGCAGTCGACCGACCTGGATGCTAGCTCTGATGTAGTATAGCCATGCCAACTTCATTGTACCATTGTTGTCAACCTTTCTTAGTGAA